GAATCATTCACAGATCTCAAATTTCATGTACAGAGTGTCAAAAGCCACACCTCTGCTCCCCTTTAATATAAAATGCTATGTTAGCTTGCTCAATTTACGTGTTTTTTTTTACTTTCACCATATGTTATTAGATAAAATTAACACATAGGCTTTCTAAAAATATCCTCCCCTATTTCTGCCCTCGGACCTTAAAACAATATTTCTCTTCTAGAGCCATATAAAATCACCGTCTGTCTCGAAGCAAATATTCATGGCCAAAATCACCCAGTCGAAGTCACCTAAAGTTTTTTTTTACAACATTGCAATCCACGCAGTTTATCATAGGATACAAAAGTATACGATGACAATGCATTACAGTATATTTCTAAACGGCTATGGATGATGGTCACGTGATTACGGTGCCGGGCAAACGATTTTAAGTAAATAAAGCTCAATGAATAATGCGCAATATGAATTAATAATCATGAACTGTGATTCGATTTCAAGAGGCATCTTTCACCGCAACAGATTATGGAGTTATATAATATCTGATTGGAAGATGGTGTAACAGCTTCGATTTTCTACTGTGTTGTAATTTGGCATATCGCTCTTAGTTTATTATGATTGTGAAAATCTGAATATATATTTTTACTTACCAATAATAAAATTATTTGACACGAATATTAATTTCGAAGGATATAGGTTCATTTTATACTTATGTTGAAAGGTCAAATAATTAATCCGTAGTGTTGGTTTTAAATAATCTACGTGGAAGGATAAAAATAGACGAGTAGAATAATAACTGTAAGCTGTACAATATTATCAAAGCAGAAACAAAACGACAGAATAAAAGTAATAAAGGACGATCGTTTTTTTCCTTATTGAAAACATGAGACGAATACAGAAAAGCAAAAATATAGGCTCCTGTTATATTGTCCACAGGTCTACGATAATATAAATATTTTCCATTCCATATTAGGTGAATGCGCATGCGTTATAGACATCACCGGTCGACAAATTGTCCTATGCTCGGCGGATTAACTCAAAAATCATGTAGAAGTGATCTAATATGAAACGGTTTCGTCTAATTGAAAAATGAATAAACGGGTGAGTTCATGGTTTATACGTAATAGAAGTATACTTGAATACACTTCGCCATTTTCATATGAAACTAATTGCATAAACACTAACCGCTCATGTTTGGGAACGCTGGCTGGCTATTGATTGGAATAATACAAAACGTGCTTACCAATATTACAACAACAGTATTTTATTTTATATTCCAAAATACGCTGTTAACTGAAGTGCAATAATGCTGGATGAATATCAAAACAATCGTTTTGGACATTTAAACAATACGTACATTATGCATAACATCATTTTAGTTATGATATAAGGATTAATTGTCATCGCCAATACCGATACCATCTCTAATTATGTCCTGGATGTGTCTGTGATCACGATTAAAAATTTAAATTAGTACATTACAAATGAATTTCAATGAAATTAGTCAGATCATCGGACTAAATATCTTCGAAATGCGAATTTGGGATAGGGCACCAGGGTAAAGCACATCGAACATACTTAATTGGAAGTGTACGTATTAAAAATTAGTATTATAAATCGCTTGCACAAATAACACTGGTATATTGCTTATTATAGATATAATTTTGTTTCAGCTAGACAGATGTTGTTTGAAGTTTGAGCGTGTACTTCCTCCAGTTATCTGTACAATATTATTTGTCTTTTTCTTTACTGTAATCGTGCCAGTTATCGTATCACTGATTCGTCACCATCTTAGAAGAGAAACACCTATCGGTAAACGAAAATAATATTGTCACACCATTATTGCATGTGAAGGGTTGTGGGTGATTGTAATAGAGCTAGCTGGCACTACTCATGTTTCAAAGTCCCGGAATAAGCATCCAGTCACGCGTGGTCGTGAGGCATCTCGACTAATCACGGGTTACATAGTTATACATGTCTCATACATATGCAAATATGAGTACCAATATATCTAGTAAGGTTTTATCATACATATATTTTTATTTCACATCCTTGTTCAGAATATAGCGAGTGCTACGAAGATGCTAATGGATTAGACTACCACGGCACAATTAATACCACAAGAAATGGGTACGAGTGTATGGCATGGGCAGAATTGAAATTCAAAGTATTGATGAAGTTTTCCAGTCTCGGTCCAAGTGATCACAACTACTGTAGGAATCCTAATGGGAATTTGACAGCATGGTGTTATACTCCAGAGTCCGATATTGGTTGGGACTTTTGTGATATTGGAGAACCCAGCGAAGACTGCAGTAAGTTCAATTTAAAATTATTTATGCACAATAGTGTGCTGTGAATTTGTATATAGTATATTTTGGCCATGCAACGTAAATAGCCGTGTCATCTAGCAACGATGCGTGTGATTTGAATGGTGTATGGAACGCCGGCACAACATCTAAATTGCTGTATTATAAATGACGCACGATTAAATAATCAAACTGATTTACCTATTTGATCAATATTGCTACATCAGTAATTGCTTGTCACTAGAGGGCACATTTTATTGTAACTATGTATGATCAACGCATGTATACGAATAATTACGTTTATTACATGTTTATTTTTAATACGTGATTCAGATATTCCAGGTTTGCCACTGACTTTACCACCTAAAACGTCTACTACAGTTGCTCCGTCTGATACATTTGAAGGTATGTTAATTCGTCTTCTACATTCGTGAACGGGAGCATAGATTGTGTTTTCAAATTATTCAGCGGACTCTATGTGTACTTTGTATCTTCAGAATGCTACGTAGATGTTCAAGGCACTGACTACAGAGGAACTATTAACTCAACCACCAATGGTCTGGACTGCCAAATATGGAATGAACAGTCTCCCCATCAACATACGTTCACGCCCGAGAACTACCCTAGCTCAGGTCTGGAAGATTACAACTACTGTCGAAATCCCGACGGTAAAACTCGGCCGTGGTGTTTTACAATCTATCCAAGTATACGTTGGCAACATTGTAACGTGGGGAACCCTGCTGAAAATTGTGGTACGTTTTATGAATAAAATGGATGATTACTAAACATAATCTTTGAACATCATGCAGTGTTTTACAAATTACGAATTGGGTGTTTTTATATATTGTAGGTTCAAGTACTGCATCTCCAATGGACTCATCTACAGTCGAATCTGCATAAATTTATGAATGGAAATTAATATATGGCAATGGCATACAATCCATTAGTATAGTGATATACCTAGATGAAAAAACAGATACAAAACAATCGAATTTATTATTTTAAAATTAGTAATAATTTGTATATTTAAGTATGATGACAAGTCTGTACTTTTGTTACGGTAATACAATTATAAATTTGCATGGAACTCGTTTAATGCCATGATAATTGACTCGCGCGGCGATGTTAAATTTTAATGGGGCAATGTTAGTTACACTGAATTGAAAACTTCAACATATGTTACGGTGAAAATAATATAAATGTGGAAAAATGGAAAACTCTTATACTAAATTATGTGCATAAATAACCATTATATTGTAGCGTAGATAGTACGTAGATTTATGCAAAAAAAATACCTGTTTGTTTAATATCGTCAAAACACTTTTTATTAATGCTATAGTGACATAAATTTTGTATCTGTGTCTGTATCATTGCATGTTTTGTATAAATTATAGATTGTTAACTAGAGTGAACACAAGTGATTGCGTCATTGGTTGTACATTGATCATTAAATATATTTACATTCACATACCTCAATACATTGTGTCTTATTGTATTTTGGCAATAAATTATGATCGGACTGATGAGTTATCGGCTTTTTGTTTGTGTTGGTATTTGCTAATTGTGATTTTCTAGGGAAAGGGGGGTACCATAGGGGTGCGGAGATACTAGTGCCCTTAAACTTTACGTTGTGTCTGAGAGGTGAACACAAGTGATTGCGTCATTGGTTGTACATTGATCATTAAATATATTTACATTCACATACCTCAATACATTGTGTCTTATTGTATTTTGGCAATAAATTATGAACGGACTGATGAGTTATCGGCTTTTTGTTTGTGTTGGTATTTGCTAATTGTGGTTCTCTAGGGAAAGGGGGGTACCATAGGGGTGCGGAGATACTAGTGCCCTTAAACTTTACGTTGTGTCTGAGAGGTAATTCTAAAAAGTGCATTTCGCCGCTGCAATGAATGAAGAACAATTGTCAATATGCTGTACTTATCGAATACACTCCAAATCCGACTAAACATACGTTGTCAAATTTAGCCCACTCCTGCCATAGTATGTGATATGTTATACAATGTGTAATAGTTTATAAGATGGCATGAAATGCTTTTTAGCTAGATTTTGTATATACGAAATAAAGCTTATAACATACGAAATTCTGAACTGTTCAAATGCTTCATAGGCTAAATCCTAAAAGAAGTTTTAATTTTAGATGTTCACATGGATGTCATCACTGGTAACATTTGTTTTATTCCATAGATATACTTGACAAATGATCGATCTCCGCTACATCAGTAATCAATGAAATGGGTAATAAGATGGAGAATTGTACTGAATTTACGATATAGTGTTTAGTGTATAGTCAACTTTCTGCATTTACTATAATTATTTATTAAAACACATCTTCATGTGTTTGTTCTGAGCCATTTACTCATACTATCAGACATACAGATAAACTAACATCAGATTTGAGAATAAAGATTCCTACTACTGATTTTCGGCAAAGCCTTCCCACTTCATTCTATTTATAAAAAAAATCTAAAATTATTTGCCAAAAAAATTCTATCACCAAAGTGTTTGATAGAGCTTTCGTTTAATCTCCAGCGACGGTAACTGGAGAAGTTTATACATATTTCTTTGAGTACCTTGATATGACAGTTTTAAAGTTCAAGCATGTTTTTATAGAGACCTACACGATTAATTTAATTTAATTTAATGTTAAGCCTTCATTGACAAACCCTAATTGTCCGAAATTTCACAAAGGAAATATAAGGTTGTTCAAATTTCTGTGTGCGTTATGTATAAAACAATGTGTTCTTTATAAATTTCAAACATTGAAAAACGAAATTCAACTAGACGAAAACGTCAGTTAAGAGGAAAAACATGACACTTTTGAGAAAAAACTTCTTTTATGTATAGTATATACAGAATACAAATAATTTCAACCACATTGTGTAAACAGAACGATATCAAAACCTAAAAGATTCATATTTTGTGGTTGTATGCTAATCAAAGTCAATTAATTCTAACCTGTTGTCTGACAAACTCAATCATTTTCTTAGGAGACAAGTTGAAATGTGATCTGTAAAATCTAACTTAAAAATAAAACCATGAAACAAATGTTACTAGGTGTGGCAGCGATTTTCAGATTGTTTCCAAAAATATCTGGCATATTGAAAACATTGCGTAATCGTTCTATATTTTGAATTTGCATTTTCTAACATGATGGGATGCGGAAACTTTTGCAACACAATCACGGCACGATGTAACCTACGTCGAAATAGAAGTTGTGTAATATCAAAAAATACACAGTCAAATAATGGAACAATGACGTTGAATTGGGGTATTACTCATAGTAAAACGATATTAAACAAAATAACTTCATGTAGATTTTAAATATGTTTAGGCTTTGCTTGTTGTGTTCCAGTTTACATACAGAAACGGGTATTTTATTTTAAAAAATAAAAGCAGTTAATCCTATGGGGATTTATTTTCGTGTCAGTACCCACGTCATACAAAATGGCCGCCGATTTGACACAAGCACTCCAGATGACATAAAAGGTTAGAAATATGTGTATTATTATGTACATTTCTGACTCTGAATTTATATGTTGTGTATATATCATGCTCGAGAGCACGTGCATATCATTCATATTTAGTGTAATGCAAACACGTCGCCAAATAACATTGTAATGGCGACAGTTGTTCCGCTGAGAAAACCAGTGTAACATTTCCATTTATATGTAAACGTATCTAGTTTATTCGGGTGGATAAGCGTTCATCGCTACGTCGAATAACGCAGTCTTAGTAAACAAATATAAATAACACATAGTATTTTCCTTCTGTACAGAACAAGACATGGCCAATAAGGTAAGATATTTCATTCTACGTGAATAATACCGCACCACACCCATACCATTGAGACAAATAGCACCCTGTTTGTTTGTGTAGTAGTCGTTAATACAATCTCGGCGTAATTGTACATGTTTTCCCCACTTGACACACAACTAATATGTAACAAGGACATATCTGGTCTGGTGATCATTTCTTTATCTGTTTTTCACAGAAACTGACTCCAGATAGTTTCTTTCCTGCCATATTTTTTGCGGCATTCTTTTCGATAGCGTTTGTTGTTATCATAGCTATTATTGTAACGCAAATAAAACCGAGAAGACATATTGAGGAAACAGGTAACTATGATTGAGTTCCAACTTAATTAATTTTCAGCTTAATTGTTTTTTGTATAATAATTTAAATATGCACAATAACGAAAACACTGGCATGTTACATCATAGTTTCATTTAAATGAATATTAATCAAAATGTTTTTGAAATGTTATCTCTAGAATTCACAGAATGTTATGAAGATCTGAAAGGCAGAGACTACCGCGGAATGGTCAACACTTCAGCGAATGGTCATGACTGCCTTAATTGGGATGAGCTGGATGATAAATACTGGGTAAACCCGGTGCACTTCCCACATGCTGGCCTCGGAGATCACAATTATTGTAGGAATCCGGATGACGACCTCGCTCCATGGTGCTATGTTGATCGCATTTCTATTGGTTGGGACTTCTGTGAAGTATCAGACCCCCGCGAAAACTGCAGTATGTATCTGATGTTATTATATCATGATGTAATGTGCTCTCCCATTGAGGATATTGCTTCAGACACATATAAATCTTTATGTTGTTGTTTTTATCAGGTGTGACCACAGTGGCCCCAACTACAACAATAGGAATATTCGCTACTACGGGTGTTCCAGGTATGGGTCAATCATTTATTCATTATCGATATGAAATATGTGTCTAGGCTCTGTCGTGTGTTGCGCGGATCGTTCAATACTTCTTATAGAAGTGAAGTGTGAGTCTTGTGCAAAGAATAATCATCAATGTTGTTTCACAGAGTTATCAGAGTGTTTCGGAGATGCTGATGGTGGGGATTACCGGGGATCAGTTAACACTACTGTCAATGGTTATGGTTGTCAAATGTGGACGTCACAAAGCCCTCATATACATGTATATACTCCATCGAACTATCCTCGCTCTGGTGTTGGAGACCACAACTTCTGTCGAAATCCTGACGGGAGAGCGTCTGCGTGGTGTTACACAACTGAACCCTCTATACCTTGGCAGCATTGCAATATTGGTGTGGCTGGTGAACACTGTGGTGAGTGAGTGTATTATAATGTATCTTGTATTACAGTGTAGTGTAGTGCACTGTAGTGAAGTACAGTGCAGTGTAGTGCAGTGCAGTGCAGTGTAGTGCAGTGTAGTGTGGCGTAGTGTAGTGTAATGTGGCATAGCGTAGCGTAGTGTAGCATAGTGCAGTGTAGTGTGGCATAGTGTAGTGTAATGTGGCATAGCGTAGCGTAGTGTAGCGTAGTGTAGTGTAGTGTAGTGTGGCGTAGTGTAGTGTAGTGTGGCGTAGCGAAGTGTAGCGTAGTGTAGTGTAGTGTAGTGTAGTGTAGTGTAGTGTAGTGTAGTGTAGTGTAGTGCAGTCTAAGATTTGGAATATAAGTGTATGGTGTAGTGTAATAGTTTGCAAATGTAGTTTGAATATAAGGAATTCTAAATTATATTATTCACAGAAACGACCACGTCTCCAGCGCATACGTCATCGGCAGCGCCCGCACATGGTATGTCGATTATTTCCCATTAACACTGATGCGCATGTTTTCAGAATGCAATCTGAAAACAATAGGTTTTGCCGTGTGACAGAAAGCCGTGTGAGCACGCGTTCGAAAGTACAATTTCACCCTTTTGGAAAAAATAATTCACCAAAAATTGACGGTTATTGATGTCACATTCAAAAATTCTTTCTGTTTACACTGGACATGGAAGTGTCACTAAAATTAATGTAATTACTAGAAGATTACAATTCCGATTAACCGTCTGTCAAAAGATTTAATTAGTGAAACATTATATCTACTGATTCACCTCTGTTACATAAAAAAACTATTGGTACATTAAACATTACGATTCAACTGTGATACCTTTATGTAATTACTGGAAAATATTTGCTGATTTGCTTTCTGCTATAAGCATACAATAGCTAGAATAAAATGTCATAATATATGTTTTATCACAGTTTTTTTTTTCTTTTTTTTTTTACAGATACGTAAATAACTATGCCAGACTCAAGTAACGTTTATTGACCGCTCCTACTCAAGAACTGTATCCTACTTTACGTTCGCTTATCATTTCTGGAATCACTATCGTCGTTATACAGGCGAGCGTATTGGTGGATCGTATTACAAAAGCCGAGTGATATTTGATGCCAGCAATCCAAGCATAGATTGAAAAATATGTCTACAATAATATATAATTCAAGTATAGAAATTTACAAACCCTGCAGTAAAATTGGCGTTACGTAACAAACATTGTTTTACTTCAAGGCTACCTCAAGTTTTTATCATTGTAGTTAATACCACATTGTTTTTTCTTAGCTGAATACCATCTTGTTTCGCTACTTAGCAATACAGATAATATAACATTTTCAATTTTCAGATTCATCAAACAAATTTCAATATGCTATTTATAATTATTTAATTAACAATATGATTTTGTGATGTATAGTTTTCCTTGCAGAGACTATTTTTAAATGATACTTGTAAATGATCATTTACTAGCTTTGAAAAATGTCTGGGGAAATCTTAAAATACTTCACCATTTGCGACTGTCGAAGGGTTGGCAAGAGCTCACTGAAATTTTGTCAACATATTCATTAAGACAAAATTTCATTACGGTAATAAACCTTTGTTAATCAGTGTCAATGATTTATAGCTTTTGTGTCAAATATTTGTATTTGAAAACGGATATACGACAACGAAACACATGACAAACCTACGCAAATGCTGATTGCTGATTGAACTGACACGTTGTTGAATTATCCAGATTTTTTGATGTACTTTTAGCTATTAGTCTCTTCGGAAATGCAACGGAGTAAGTGCGTATTGATGTAATTTGGAAAAAAAAGATAATTCATTAGCCCAGTAGAAACCTCCAATACAATAATTCTGGCGATATTAATAGTACTAGTAATTGTATTGATATGGCTTCATGAAAGTATGTTAAATTAAAGATGTACGAGAAATTATTTTGCTTGATATTGCAATCATTACGTTAATTCTGGTTAGCATATTCATCAAAGTCTGATTGCCTTTTGACCCGCTCTCGTGAGGTAAGTTGTGCGAGAAATAATGGGAAACGGTAAATAAAGCATTAACATAACTTATGCTAAGTGCTGGATAAACAAGATATCAGTGTTGTAAATTGGCATCGGCAATACTTCACAAATGCTGCATTAATCAATACAACACGATGAAGACCGAGGAAGTCTTGGCATAACGTAAAACACCTGAAATTTAGTCAAGAAATACCCTGATAATGTGCAACATCAGACAAACTCTCCACATGTATACAACATCAAAAGTGGTCCAATCACCAAACCAGAACACATGCATGGCAGATTAAACATTGGCTGAATATACTAAAAAAAAAACATGATTTAACCTGCCACGTTCCTATGCGCCCCAAAGTAGAAATGAAACTTCAATTTACATATTCTCATCTAACGAGTTTACTTGCTCCTGGCATGTCACGTTCTCTCCAGCCCATTGTACTAGATCGCCGACCCAATACGCCTAGAAACAACACTTATAGATTTGAGTATTGCAGTGTAGAATGGGTATAACATCGACAACTGCAACCCCAACATAATAACTGTACTCAAGTATAGGATACAGTTTTTCTCCATGGGGTCACGGAAAATAAATAAAAGTACTTTACAAAACAAACCTTTGGACACTAGTGCTAAACAACAAAAAGAGTGTTGTATCTAATTTTTCATAATCAAAGGCGTTAAGGCGTGACCGTGTTGTCACCGTTGTCATACAGAAACTCGTATTAAAATCTAAAAAAGTACATTTATAAATAAACGTAGATAATCCGAGGTGGGTTTATTTGTGTGTCAGATCCTCACGTCATACAAAATGGCCTTTCACATTATAGCACATCTCTAGGTTGCATAGCAGGTGTTTTATTCGAAATTTATTCAAGGTAGGTGTGTCGTCAACTGAATTTGTATATTGTTTTATATAATATGTCATTGCTGTGTTAACCGTTAGGTGCACAATGTAAATGCTGATTCGAATACATAACCTTATGGTGCGTAGTACTACACTGTGTTGTTTCACGCCATATTTATATATGACATTACATGTACAAAACAAATAGATAGAAATTGAAAATATACACTCGGTAATAAACACATCGACCGTCATTTTTTTCCTGAACGGTAATCGTAAGCATTTTTAGTGTTCATTCATGTATGGCCATGCCAATTAAACCAAGTAAAATAGTGTGGTGTCATAGTGACGGAGACACGGAGGGGGGGGGCGAACAAATGTTGCAGAAATGGCGTTTCAGAGGCTCTAGATTACAAAATTTGGCAAATTTCATGCGGTCGTCTCTGTGTCACAATCATTACAGTCTTTTATATGCAAGACACTAATTTAATGACGCTATGCTATAATTGTATTTATCAAACAAGTAAGGCTCATTTTTTCTGGTTCGTTTGGGGATGAACAAATGGTGCTATGTTTGTCCGTTTTCAAAATATTTTTCTTTTTTTATTCTACCTTCACTGTGGTAAATGACGACCAACTTCAGATTGAGTGTAGTAGTGTTTTTTAAACTTGTTAGTCTCAGTTGTCCTAAGTATCTTTTGTTTGTTAATGACTGCTCTGAATGTTCTTTTTTGTTATTAATTTATTTAGGATCAAATAGATATGATAGAACTAGTGATCAATCAATAACTTCACAATCAATTTATTCTGGACATTCGCAATTTTTCTGTCAGTGTAGTAGCCACCTTTAAACAGTGACAAAAAACTCGCGAACATGCTAGCTATTACTTT